AGTTACTCGCCATAATGGATATGATCATAATTTCTAGTAAAAAATGCTGCTTCAATTAAAGGAAAACAATTTAATGAGGCGAAAACGTATAGAAAGTGCTCTGATTGATAAATCATTCACGATGAATTTGTGTCCATGTACTTATAACATTTCACCTTTCTCGACAAAACTTCTGTTGTCGTAATATCGGATATTCTAAACAACGATAAAACAAAAAATAAAAACGCAGGGAAACAAAATATTAGGATATGTGTCCAGATAAATTTGATTGAAAAAATAGTAAATTATTTATGAATTCTAAAAATGAGAATAATTTAAAAAACTTCGCTACACTTCCAATCTTTGAATTTCAACAGACAAATGCGTATGTATAGACACAACACCACCCATATACATACATATGTCAAATCCCAAACTGTCCACATATGTTTATATATGTATGAGTCCCGGCGGACGAGCAAGTGTGTATGTGTGTCTGCGTACCTCATCGGGTGTACGGACATGCATCTATGTTTGCGTTAGCACGATGACATCACGACGACGTTTCCCCCCCGCACTCCCATAATAACACCAATACACGCAATCTACATAAACCCAAATTTTAAAAAATTAATCATTTTTTCTGACGATTGCAAAAGTGTGAAACCCAGGGTCACAAACTCACATCAATCCAACCAAATATGTTAGCTCTATCTCTGATATTGAGCGCATTCTAATAAGTACCGCGCATATAATATATAAATAATTATATTTATATTTATATACACACACTTTTCACACACACACAAACACAAACACACACATTTCACACACACACACACACACACACACACACACACACACACACACACACACACATATATATATATATATATATATATACATATACAGAAAATGTAATATACCGAGCCACTGTAAAATCAGAAAATAACGTAAGAAATATATACATAGTAGTAACTGAATGACTCTGGAAACAAAGAAACCACGCACACAAAACATCCTTCATAAATAGTAAATGCGCGAACAGCACAATACTTTTTAAACATATATGGGAAATTTAAAAAACTTATCACACCAAAGATATAATGGAAAATACGGCAAACATCGTAGGAATGCAAGAATTATTCGAAAAACTGTAAATTCTGTCTGAAATAAAAAAATAGCTATAATTACCTTCTCAGATAAACGTAAATTACTGAATAAACGATCAGAAATCATCTCAAAATCCAGACATGAAAACAAATTTTTACTTATATTCATTAACAACAAATGATAAAATAATCACTATTAAATAATGAATAAAAAGTTAACAAACAACACTAAAAAAACCGCTACAAATATCAGCATCCTGATCCACAATTATATCTACTCAATAGCCCCAGGAATAATTTGAAACATAGCCATTACCGTCCCCAATAACCATTAGGATAATACAATATACTTACCCATAATATATAATAATAAATATACCTACTATATATATATATATATATATATATATATATATATATATATATATATATATATATATATATGTGTGTGTGTGTGTGTGTGTGCGTGTGTGTAATTCCATCAATGAGATTAATAAAAGGTACGATGTTCTTTTAAAGAACGAAAACGCCTAATACATATTTTTACTACTCTGTCATTCAAATACCTAACGTCTCACCCATATATATATATATATATATATATATATATATATATATATATATAAATAAAGAAAGAAAAGAACAGATGGAGTTAGGATACATAATTCTCAGCATTTACTTTTTAAAAGTCATCAATGCAACGTTTTGCTTCACATTATATTGAGTGCTTAAAAAAAAATAAATGCGAAGTACTGTGGATTCTAGCTCCATCTGTTCTTTCTCTTTCTTAAGATAATTCGCTCCCATCACGGTAGAGCACCTTCTAAATTTATTTTTACAGTAAAATAATAATAATAATAATCATAATAATATATATATATATATATATATATATATATATATAGAGAGAGAGAGAGAGAGAGAATTAATATCAATAGGCAGACCTCTCCGTCCACTCTTCAGAGGGTATTGCTGATACCACCCGTAGTGTGGACGAACAGGTCTGCCTAAAATACTCTGAAGCGAACACTTTATTCAATTCACAATGTAGCTTGTTCTCATCCCGCTGTTGCCGCAAGAGAATGTCTTATATAAATTATTTCCAGTTAAATTGTCCTTGTGTCTTCAATGGGACCGGACTAGATGTAAATTTTTGCATTTAACCAACGTAGGGATTGAATTTAAATTTGCCAAGTAACTACATCCGCTTAAGCAATGTTTTTATTTACAAGGTCCCCACTGACCTAATGAAGGACACAGTAGTCGAAACGTTGGCGCCATAAACACCAACATAGATAGATTATTTCAAATATATTAATGTCTACTACTATCACAATGTGATCCGTGTTCTTAGCGCATATATCTATTGTACATTTAACGATTCAAGAAAAAACAACGAAACTCCATATGTGGATCAACAAATACATACATACATACATATATATATATATATATATATATATATATATATATATATATATATATGAAATATAACATACAAAACAATCATGCAATGAAGTGTAATGATTAAGGGAAAAAAGTTGTTTCCCTTCAACTGTATTCTGATTTATGATTTAATGTTCGAAAGAGTTTTTCTTGAATAAGAATGTTCAGAATTCTATGTTGAATAGAGTTTGCTGTTAGAATAGAATACAGTTAATTAAGAAATGTGTTGTTTTGAGAAATTAATAGAGTGTTGGTTCATGAACTTGGCTAAATCACAGAGAGATGTATGTATAATATGTTACAAAAATCTGTGTCTGTGTGTGCGTTTGAAATGTTGTGAGTAAAGTCGTAGATTTGTGTGAACGGGCGAAAAAAGCTGGACTCTATTGACGGCTTGCGAGAAAGTCGGTAAGAATTGTTGGCAATGTTCTTTAACGTCTGAAGGCACGGTTAAGGCGGGAGCTCTTGAAGATTACATCTTGGCAGCAAGGAAAAGGATGAATGAAGTGACGAGAGAAGCTTATATAAGGTTGTGTCTCACGTGACAGGCTCCAGGGCTTGTGCCCCGGGAAAATTATTCCTCGCGTGCAGGCGATTTGATTGGTCGGAATTGACCAATCAGCAAGCTAGCTTTGAGGACATTAGCCAATGAATGCTTGCCGTATGATCTGTATGTATGTATATGTGTGTGATGGCGATGATGATCGCTGCAACAGTGTGGAGTATCAAAAAACACCAGTGTATGAATAAAAACAAAAACATTGAATAATCTCGGCTAGGATGTATGTCTAGACACGACAGGCGCCGGAACTTTACAATATATTAGTGTACAATAATGATAATTTCTCATTAAGGAATTCAGACAATAATATCTATACTTCTTCGTCTTTATTTAAATCTTCCCAGCTTTCTCAGACTCTCGTCACTTTAAAATATTATTCGAATATTTCTTTTCAAATTCAGAGAATCCATACATAAAACTTACAGCCGATTTCTTTTTTATTTTCATTGACACAGACAAATCGAAATCTTCCCTCTTACTCATGAATACTTCCTCGTAAGTACACGAGTTTTTTTTTTATGATAGATAAGAGGTGATAATCTCTGATATTTACTTTACGTTCAGATTCAATTAAAGACGTAGGTTGTGTTACGGTCGCAATTATACACTGAATAAAATATGACGACGTCGCGGCATCCATAACATTGAAATACTTCCATTCATCATGTGGCTATCCTATGTAAATATCATTGGAAATCGAAACGCTTTGACAAAAGGCGCCCAAGATGAAGACAACAGATCGACAAGATGAATATTTATGAACGAAGATTCATCAATCAAGCGTAGAATTACCATTGGTTATTTGGAGATTCGATCGTCCACAGAGTTCACACGCCCGACCAACACTCTACCAGTTCGATTGTTACTTTCTCTCTTTTCTCTAAATCTTTCCATTTCCATTGCCATTCTTTTAGTTAATCTTTCTGTGTCGATGTTTGTTCTTTTTTTTTTCTTGTTGAATTCCTTGTTGCCACTTTGAAATTCTTGTTTCTTTTTCTTTCTTGTGTTGATTTTCTGTTTTCATATAATTCTTTCTTTCTTTCTTTCTTTCTTTCTTTCTTTCCAAATGGGAATAAGAAGACAGATTTATCATGCTGTGAAAATCGACTTTCTATCTATCTATCTATCTATCTATCTATCTATCTATCTATCTATCTATCAGACATACCCACATTAAAAAGGCCTTGTGCCACATTCGGTCCCCGTGGGTGGATTGATAAATACCATCTATCTATCTGTCTCAGTCTGTTCATATCTATCTATCTATCTATCTATCTATCTATCTATCTATCTCACTCTGTTCATATCTATCTATCTATCTATCTATCTATCTATCTATCTATCTATTCATGTCAATGACTATCTGTTCATGTCAATGACTTTATCTATCTATCTATCTATCTATCTATCTATCTATCTATCTATCTATCAAAATCGATTTCTCTATCTCGATCTGTCTCTCACTTTATCTATCTATCTATCTATCTATCTATCTATCTATTTCTCTATCTCGATCTGTCTCTCACTTTATCTATCTATCTATCTATCTATCTATCTCTCTCGATCTGTCTCTCTCTTTAACTATCTATCTATCAAAATCTGTTTATTTATCTATCTATCTATCTATCTATCTATCTATCTCGATCTGTCTCTCTCTTTAACTATCTATCTATCAAAATCTGTTTATCTATCTATCTATCTGTCTATCTATCTATCAAAACCTATTTCTCGCTCCTCCTCCTCCTCTTCCTCCTCCTCCTCTCTCTCTCTCTCTCTCTATCTATAAGAACACAGAATGTGTGGTCGTGAGTAAGTAAAGCAGCCAAAGGTGTCCGCTTGGAATTGAAAATCTCAGAATCAGGCACGTTCTGAAGTTTCATTACCTGTTAATATAATAATACATGACGGAATGTGTAACACTGAGATAAGAAAGTGTAACAGAACGAGGCCTTCCCAAAAACCGAACTAAACTATTAAAACATAAGATATCGTTAGATACCAAGAAAAGAGATCTGAACATTTAGGTTATAATCTATCCTCCCGGATGGATAATTCTCTTGGAGATAACTAAGAGACAAAGTCGAGAGTAATGTGTTCCTAGGATTGCACGTTGAAAATACCACGGACATAACACGTGAGCAAAGTGAAACTTCTAAAGAAAATTGAAACGACTTTCTATCTATCTATCTATCTATATATTCATGTCAATGACTATCTATTTGTTCATGTCAATGACTTTATCTATCTATCTATCTATCTATCTATCTATCTATCTATCTATCTATCTCAGTCTTTTCATATCTATTTATCTATCTATCTATCAAAATTGATTTCTCTATCTCGATCTGTCTCTCACTCTATCTATCTATCTATCTATCTATCTATCTATCTATCTATCTATCTATCTATCTATCTATCTATCTCACGATCTGCCTCTCTCTTTAACTATCTATCTATCAAAATCTGTTCCTCTCTCTCTCTCTCAATCTCTATCTATCTATCTATCTATCTATCTATCTATCTATCTATCTATCTATCTATCTCAGTCTTTTCATATCTATTTATCTATCTATCTATCAAAATTGATTTCCCTATCTCGACCTGTCTCTCACTCTATCTATCTATCTATCTATCTATCTATCTATCTATCTATCTATATGATACATAAAACCAGAAAGAGACATATGAAGTTTCTGGGGCGCATCGCGAGTTTAATACTCACATGACGTATTAAGGAAAGGAAAGATGTTGAGAAACTGTGTAAAGAGCCAATAACTTAGCCTCATTCGTGATTGGAGGGCAAAGCAGGCACTAGCTGAGATAGGTTACAGTGCATGGATTAAGGGTGATGATTATCAGCGTAGGGACAAAGGGTTCTCATCAATTGTGAGAATACAGAAAGACCAAACTCCTGAACAAACCGAAGGCCCAATCAAGTGGCTCTTAAGTTAGTATATATATATATATATATATATATATATATATATATATATATATATATATATATTCATAGAAAATATGCGTCCTCCGACAGGAATTGAACCTGTATCCTGAACTACAATTCTCCATGATTTTCTCTCGTACATTCATATCTGCTAGATGCGTATCCAAATGTAAACAAATGACGTCACACATTATGAAATGGACGACAATTATTTTAAGAAATTTTTTATGTTTATATATATATATATATATATATATATATATATATATATATATATATATATGACTCTCCCGTCCTATTCGACGTATGAGGTTCAAACAGATTAGTTCCTAGGGACCGACAGCCTAGACATGTAAACATATGATTTGATTATAGTAGTGAATGCTTTGTGCAGGACCAGCCACACCTTTTGTCGGTCCGAATATAAAAAATCTGGTGCACTACGTGCCACAAGGTCCCCAAACGACCCTCCACAGGTTTTGAATTTAGAGTTGTCCTTCTCCTAGACCAGTTGTCATCCAAGGCTATAGAATCCAGTCTGTCCAACTATTTACCCACAGCTGGATAAGAAGAGGATTAATACATCACCCATATTAGATAATGGCATATATTTTTTATATATATCACGAATAGTATTGGGGAATTCTAAGACGAAATCTATTTGTGACATGTTTGATCCGTTAGGACTTCATCGGACTGGCTTTGTTGATATTGTTGTAACAAACCCAGTCCGATGATGTCTTATGTACAGTGGTGTGCAAAAGTAAGTGAACCGATAAGATATTTTTAAAAAAATGTCTTTTTTTTTCCAGATGATCAATAAATCTTAATTAAACAATATATTCATTAAGAAAAATTCTTTATTAAATCAATTACTGCCACTTTCAAAATGTTTTACCAAGTCGGAATGAAAATATTCATTCAAAATTAAAAGGTGCAAAAGTAATTGACCCCTTACATTTAATATTTGGTGATTGCCCCTTTCGAGGTTAAAATGTCAACCAGTTCTTTTCTATAATTTTGAAGAAGTTCCTCGCAGTAGTGATTGCTGATGTTTGACCATTCTTCTTGGCAGAACTCCCACAATATTACTAGTTTTTTTCTTTTTCATATGAATCACAGATTTTCAACTGGGTTTAGATCAGGACTTTGATTAGACCCTTCCAAGACTTAAAAGTTCTTTTTACAAACCCATTCTTTTGTGGATTTGCTTCGATGCTTCCAGCCCCGACCAAAACCAAACTTCAACTGAACAAAATTTCGTTCAAAATTACTTGGTATCTTGCAAAGTCCATTGTGCCGTCAATGCATACTATTTTGCCTGTTTCAGCTGTATCAAATCATAATGATATCACCGCCATGTTTAAACCTTTGAGCCCTGGTCACTGTTGTACCTGTGGTAGAGAAAAATGACTTAATGCCCAGCCACCGATTGAACAGTGGTAGAGAAAAATGACTTAATGCCCAGCCACCGATTGAACAGTGGTAGAGAAAAATGATTTAATGCCCAGCCACCGATTGAACAGTGGTAGAGAAAAATGACTTAATGCCCAGCCACCGATTGAACAGTGGTAGAGAAAAATGACTTAATGCCCAGCCACCGATTGAACAGTGGTAGAAAAAATGACTTAATGCCCAGCCACCGATTGAACAGTGGTAGAGAAAATGCCCAATGCCCAGCCACCGATTGAACAGTGGTAGAGAAAAATGACTTAATGCCCAGCCACCGATTGAACAGTGGTAGAAAAAATGATTTAATGCCCAGCCACCGATTGAACAGTGGTAGAGAAAATGACTTAATGCCCAGCCACCGATTGAACAGTGGTAGAAAAAATGATTTAATGCCCAGCCACCGATTTGGTAAAGGTAAATGATCCCAGCCGAATGAACATGGGTACCAATTATTTTTTTTATATCAACCGTGTAACATTACATACCAATTATTTGCAATTTTGACACAGGTGCTCAGGCAGACGGGTTAAAATTATTCTGGAACGCAGGGTTCAAAAGGCATGAAACCAAATTATTCTTGTCAAAATCCGTATTAGGAGCTCGCCAGATATACGACCTTTTGTTCCTCCCCAAAAGCTCGAGTTTGGTTTTATCTGACCATACAACCTTTCGCCAGAATGTTTCTGTCTTATTAATGTTATTTGGCATAGTTGAGGCGATACTTGTGTTATTTCATAAGTAGAGGCTTTTTCTAGGCATTCTGCCATTGAGATCAGCATTGTTCAGATTTCGTCGTACTGTACATTTCTGCCAATTGATTTCGATATTGACAAGTGAGCATTGCAGAACAGCAAAGCTTACAACAGAATTTGCTTGGATTTGCTGAACTAGCTATCTACTAGCTCTTGGTGTTATTTTCGCAAATGGCCACGTCTTGATTGTGACGCCGTTATACCAAAGTCCTTCCATTTATAAATAATTTGTTGTACAGTGTGGAGAAGTACACTCCAAATCGTTTTGATAACTTTTTGCAGCCTTCTCCATCATTGTAGGTTTCAACTATGAAATATGGTAAAGCTCCAAAGAGTTCTTTTGATCTTTGCATATATATATATATATATATATATATATATATATATATATATATATATAAAATAAAAAAATAACAAGAACACCGGATTATATATCTTACTGTTCTTTCTTATATATATATAAAAGAAAGAACAGTAAGATATATAATCCGGTGTTCTTGTTATTTTTTATTTTTACAAAACTGTGCTCAATGTAAATTTACAGAGCATAAATATTATGAATTAACTGATTTAAAATATGTTTTTTTTTCGCTACAGAGAAATAACCATGTTTCAAAAAATGGAAGCTAAAAAAGATTAAATTTAATTATATAATTATATAATTAAATTAAAAGCATTAGTTCAGTTTCATCTTCAAGCAAATATTTAATTATATAATTAAATTTAAAGTTTTTAGCTTCCATTTTTTGAAACATGGTTATTACTACGTAGCTAAAAACATATTTTAAATCAGTTAATATATATATATATATATATATATATATATATATATATATATATATATATAATGGACTCTCCACACGGTTCCGACGTATGAGGATCTGACAGCTTAATTGATTCAGTTAGGAAATTTTGAGCGATAATCTTAAGTGGCACTAAAGACCCGCTAGTGAGGCCATATATAGAGCAAGTGTGAGAATTGCGAGATGAGATCATTGTTAGATTGGCTGACCTTTTAGATCTTTCTATCGCTTCTTGAAGATTATTCAGACAAGCAGATTGAAAACTGGTGAGTCCACTAAAACACTGATCTCCATTCTACCCGCTCCAAGGCTAAGCTCTCAAAGGTCGTTATGTGGTATATATATATATATATATATATATATATATATATATATATATATATATATATAAATTTTAGTCTTTAACTACATACATTGCATATCTATTGAATTATATTTTTTGACTACAGTATACACAGCTTGCCAAAAAAAAAAAAAAAAAAAAAAAAACATGAAAAGTGTCATTATGATTTTCACACGTGCACAAAAGATTATTTGCACTGGCAACCATGTAAAACAAAAATACAGACTGTAAGGGATCACTGATTTCTGCATGTCTTGACTTTTTAATTTTTAATTAATTTTTTTATTCCGACTTTGACAAAAAAATTAAAAATGGCTGTAATTGATTTAATGAAGTTTTTTCTTAATTAATATACAGATTAATTAAGATTTATTGATCATCTCGAAAAAAGTGACAGTTATAATAAATATTATCTGAGTGGTTCGCTTACTTATGCACATCACTATATATATATATATATATATATATATATATATATATATATATATATATATATATATATGTATATATATATATGTATATATATATATATATATCTCTCTCTCTCTCTCTATATATATATATATATATATATATGTATAAATGTAAAAGAACAAGGAATAAAATTCAAAACATTCAAAACGTTTAAAAACAGGGTTCTGTACAAGAGTAGAGCAATAGATATTTATCATACACTTTTACATCAGAACATGTAAGTTACTACTCCTGAGTAGGAGTAACTTACATGTTCTAATGTAACAGTATATATATATATATATATATATATATATATATATATATATATATATATATATATAAAAAAACAGAAGAATAAAATTTATATATATATATATATATATATATATATATATATATATATATATATTACATTAGAACATGTGTTACTCCTACTCAGGAGTAGTAACTTACATGTTCTGATTTGACCGTGAAGCCGGACCAGACCCAGACCCAAAGGAATACAGGGCATTAAATTTAAAACCAGCTTGGCTGAAAGAGTTGCCAAAAATTGTAAGTGTTGACAGCCAAGCGCCTTCAGGGCTCTTCTCCAGGTTTTCTGTCGGGATTTACTTCATCATTTTACGTGTTTGGATATAACTGCAAAGCAGATGAAGTTTAGTATAAGGGTTTTCGCTACATAGACAGACTTCCCGGGCTGTTGAATTCCATCTACCCGAAATAGTTGGACATAGTTTTCAGGGGATATTTGAGATGTACACCAAGGAAGTATTTTATAGAGTGGGAGTTTATCCCCAATATCACCCCCTGGCTATGGCAAAGGTATGTAAACTGATAATCATAAAGTATTGATAATTACGGAAACGAAATAATTAATAGCGTTAATTAACCCTAATTTGTTATCCATTTATGTATTAAACTGTTTCGCTAACGCTAATTGAGAAGATTAATGTTATGAAGATTATAGAAGATTATTGTCATGAAGATTATAGAAGATTATTGTCATGAAGATTATAGAAGATTAATGTTATGATGATTATATCAGGTAATCCCATAAGTTCTGTCCGAATTTTGAATAAAGAAAACAAGTGATCAAATGTTACATTTAATTACAGATTCAATAAACAATGTATTTTCCCTGATTATCTATGACTTCCTTCCATCTATTAACAAGCTTACTAATTTCATTACTGTAAAATTCTTTTGGCTTTGATTCGAAGAACTCGCAAATGTCAGTTTTAACCTCTTCCTGTGTTACAAAAGCTGTTTCTTCTAAATGATTCTGTAAGCTACGAAACAAATGGTAGTCTGGAGGAGCAAGATCGAGAGAATAAGGTGGATGAGGAATTTTCCCCCAACCAAGTTCTTTGATCTTTTGATATGTGATTCTTGCTGTGTGGGGTTGCGCATTGTCCTAATGAAACATCACCTCTTTTCGATTCACTAGAACAGGTCTTTTTTCCTCAAAGCTTGGTTCAAACACTCTAATTGCTGACAGTATATTGGAGCATTAATTGTTGCATTAGGTGGTAAGAATTCAAAGTGGATTATTCCTTGGCAATCCCACCAGATTGAAAGAAGAACCTTTTGCCCATGAAGTTCCCTTCTCGGCTGTGGCTGGGGTTCTTCCCCTTTACCAAGCCACTGTCTACGAGGCTTAACATTTCGATAAAAGATCCATTTTTCATCGCCAGTCACAAGTCTATCCAAAAAAGGTGAAACAAGTTGGCGAGAATGGAGAGAAGAGCAGATGTCAACTCGGGATTTGGGGTTGTTTTCAGACAATTCATGGAGCACCAATTTTCCAAGTTTAGGAACTTTTCCAAGTTGTTGAGGATGACGATGAACAGTTGTATGGGTTGAACTGAGAACCACTGCCAATTCCTCAACTGATAAAGCAGGATTTTCTTCAAGGGCTGCTTCAAGAAGCTTTTCATCAAACTCAACTGGACGTCCGGTTCGATCTTCATCTTCAAGGGTGAAATCTCCTCTGAATTTTGCAAGTTCTTTCATTCACACATTCCTCTCCATAAACTGAGTGAATGTTTCTAGCCGCTTCGGCTGCTGAGTTTTCTTTCTTGAACTCATAAAGCATTATGTGCCTCAAATGATTATTGGGTACTTCCATGTTAGCAGGGTTTTAATCAAACAAAATTTAATTTTATTGTTCTCTGAAATAAAATTTGATCAGTTTAAATGCATCTAAACATAAAAATAATGTTCAGCTCCATTAGACATTATAAAATACTCTTTAAATTTCGTTCATTTTAACAAAAAGTTAAAATTCGGACAGAACTTATGGG